ATTCCTGCCCTGTTAAAATTTCTATGCTATGCGTGTCTAACTTGAGATTTCTTTTTTGTTGAATTCAACTGAGCATCTCTACATAGATTCATAAGAATGTTGATGAGATCTAAACTCATAAAGTATTTATGCTGATGAAGTTCATTAATAACCTGACTGATGAAAATGTGCTACATACTTGATAATCTAACCATTGAATGCTTAATTCTCAGTACGTTCCTGTGATGGGACATTCTGCTTCGAATGTGGCGATACTGACCTGAGAGCACAAGGCACAAAAGCTGAGGAAGGCCCCAGATGTTGCTCAGAAGGCAGGTGGTCAAGAACTCAAACACAGCAAAGGCCATTGCTGTGAGAGTAGAGAGAGGAGGTAAGAGCTGTGGGTACAACAGGGGAACAAGGAGGGGAGCTGGGAAGTGACAAAGTGTAGCTTTTTGGCTGGCAATCTGGCTGCAAGGCATCTGCGAGGCTTCAGGGCAATCAAACGGGCTGTCCAGATGCTTGCTGAATAGAGCATGAGGCTATGAAGTGTAAAAAGACAACAGGATTCAAAGAGTGTACTCACTCACATTTGCCCGGGGTGGGCAGATTGAGAAGGAAAGATAAATGTCACAGATATATTACAGAACAATACTCCAGTAACTTTTAATGAAGGCAAGGGCAACGATGCCGCCCCAGTTTTCTTAGCTGGAGTTGTTGATGCCTGTGTTGTTGTCATGCACTGAAGGCTGGTTGGGCTGGTTCCTGGACCAGCGTCTGTGCTGGTTTCCATGGGTCAATACAGTGAGAGACTCTGATTTTCAGATGAATCTTCATGCAACGAGTAGTCAGTTTTATTTGCCTCAGCATCTTTCTTTGTCCTAGCTGCAAAATGCCTGTAAGGCATGTGTCAGTGCCAGCGTCCTATATCAAAATCTTACCCAGTTTTTCAGAATACAAAGCAGTGGCTTGAGCACTGCTGGAGGTTTATTTTTTTCATTCTTCTTCCAAGTTATTTCTTCATCCTTTCTTCCAGTATGGTACTGCCTGGTGTCTCAACTGAATTACTTGGGCCATACCTGCAAAAACTGTCAGTATTTCAATGTCAGTGCTTTAAGATTTCTCACCAGAGGACAAGAGATTCAGGACCTCAGCTTGGCTCCAGCTGGAGGCAGAATGAGGAGAAATGGCTTCAGTTGTGCTGAAGCATGCAAACTCAAATAGGTAGATTTAAACCTCATTACTTACACACATTTAAACAAAGATGGGGTCTCCGAACACTTTAGTTCAGCATATTCAGGTGAATAGAGGTACACAGACTGGCTGGTCAGAAAACACTTCAAAACGGTGTGAGAAAGACTAATTCACAGCCTACAGACAATTATACAGAATTAACTTGCAAGATGAAATTGCTGTTGATTATAGTGCAAGTAGAAACATTAATGTGCCAGGTACATTGTGCAGTTATATGGTGTACAATGTGCTGTATATGCATACAGTTATTATTGCAGTTTCAGAATGATGTAAAACATTTATGTACATAAGCTTCTGTCTTTGGAAAAAAGAGGTTGGTACTTTTCTCCCCTCATCCTCCCCTCGATAAGATGATACTTGAATAGTTCTCAAACTGTCTGGGGAAACATAGGAAAAGGTACTATTACTCTGATTGATTTTTACTGCTTATCTTCAATGTTCTGTTAAGTGTGTCATACTTCACATGCTTCCAGAGTTTTAGGTGATCATGATTTCCACTGCATCTGTGTAAGAAAAGAAAGGAAAGGTGATGACAGTCTTGGCAGCAAGCATTTTGAAGGGGAAAAACAGGAAAAAAAATAGCATAGGAAAGACCCAAGAAGAGAAAAAAGATACAGACGAAATGTTTGGCTGAACAGGAAGGAATAGGCTTGTATGGGGAAAAAAGCAGACAAGATTTGACAATTATCTTCAAGCAGGGGAGCGAACAGCCAAAACTGACCTTACCGTACTGTTTGAGCCTTGGTGATGGAGAAGAGATGGTGGTGTCATTCACTCTAACAAACAGGGGAACTGAAACTGAAGAGCATGATTGCGGAACAGTAAAATCCATTTTGGTCAAGCCAAATGCAAAAAGGTGGTGAATCAGCCAAGATTAAAGATCCGAGAACCTCTAAAGGATGTCTGATTAAATGGAAGAAAAAAGGACCAGCATGGATAAATATGACTGAAAGTTGTCAAAAGTAAGTGATAAATAAACCCTTGTGGACAGATGAAATCACTTAAGAATGCAGGTTTAGGGATGCAAGACTCCAGTGGCTTTCCAAGGGCAGGATTCCTTGCCAGTTTCTGACTGATCTTTTTTTTTTTTTTTTCTTTCATCCCTTCAAAAGTGTGGGGGCAGCTTGTGCTGAATTGCTTCTTTGGGAAGGTTTTACTCATCTTAATCACGGATGATCAAATGAGCAAACTCAGGATGAGTAAAGGTTTTCTGATTTCAATTATAAAAAATGATGGCTGAGTAAAGAAACCCATTAAAGCACGTATCTTTATTAAATTCTAAAACATTCTAGTCATCAAGATTTACAATTACTTTGCATTGTAAATTCTGTAAGGAGAAGTCGGAGACAATCAAGTAACAGGAAATGATTGTGTTCCTGTCTTCTCAAGAAAAGCAGAAAGCAATCCTTTGACGGGGAGTGACTACACATAGATATACATAGCTTTGACTTTTGAAGAAATATAATGACAAATGTGGCTGTTCTTTTAGTAACAATATTAAGATCCTGATGATAACTCTATTATACTCTTGAGAGAAAAATTAAGTAGTTTCCAAGTTCCATTAAATATCTCACAAACATGTATTCAGCTACAGTTTGAAACAGGCTTCGGCTTTCTGACTCTTTGGTGTTGACATTGTTGCTGCACTTCTAGAAAACAAGGTACACCTTTATCAGGCTAAAGTGCTTTCCATTCCTATAATAATGTCTCTTGTCCAGTGAAGTCATGCCATTATTTATAAAAGGGCATACAGGAAAACACCTTCTTTATAGCCAGAAATGTAAAGCTTTTGCTCCTTTTCTTTGAAGGCAGGGCAGGGAAAAGAAAGAGATCTGCATAGATGTATGTAAAATAGGCATGCTTCTCATTGAAGAAATTAATTTCATAAGCCCATTGACAAGTTTAGTCATGTGCAGATGTTATCTGTTACACTCACATAGCTCTTTTTAACACGCCTATATCATCATAGTGAATGATCAATTTCTATGCTACAATTATCTCCTTAGCTAAGCCTATAATGATGTTGGTGCTTAACAGATTTGCTAAAACAAAAAAACACTTCTAATGTTCTCCTTTGTGAATTTGGTGATCGGTTGCTGAAAAAAACCCTTTTCCTTAATCACAGTCCTACTGTGCCTGAAGATTTTATATTTGTCAGGCAGACTCAGAAAGCTCTGACACTGGCTTAAAGACTACAACTTCAAAAATAGTTTTGGCATATTTTATTTGCTGACTCTTCCAGAGTATACTTAGGTCAATTTATGCATTAATTTTGAAATTTATCTTTTTAATTGATAGTCTCATATGACTATTGGTTCCCAGAAACTCGGCTGTAAGTAGATTAGCAAATACTATGTTTTAATAGCCTTTGCCTTCATGTACTATTTACCAGCACTGAAAGGAGAGAGATCTTTTTTGGTCCCCAGCTTAGCTGAAGGTACAGGCTAAATTGTCACCCTTGCACAAGTTCCTTTTGTCAAGAGTCAAACAATTAAACAGCCAGCTGAGAACCAATTGTGGCCGATGCTCTTCAGGCAGAGGGCAGTACTGGAAACAGCAGGGATGCACAGCTATAGTACCTAATAATGCCAGGAGAGCTGAACGGTCCTGGAAGGGACTGAGAAAAATACTAAGTTACACTGTGGCTTAATCAGACCTCAGTACTATCAAGATGAAGAATGAAATGATGACATGAGATTTTCCACCCTTCTTATATCCTGTGAAGAACAAGCATGGGATTAATTTGAGGACTTGGGATACAGTTTCTCACCATATTTTTGCTGACATGCTCTGATGACATACAAGATAGCATAGCACTTGTGCAAGCAATCAAATCAAAGTTTTAGAACTACGCTATTGCTTAACAAGATTAGTTTTCTGTTCTGAGGTTGTTTTCCAGATAAGGAGTTTGTTCAACTCTTATCTTACCTGCAGAATGCATAAAACTGAAGTGGAAATAGGTGCCGATTTTGAAATATTTTCAGAGTGAGATTTTCCTCCATAGTTCATTCCCTCTGTGCTACCCCGGTCACACTGCAAGTCTGACCCCGGCTGTATTGGGTGAGCTGCAAGTTCCTCTTGGGGGATTCCCCTTGTCAGCCTATTGGAGGTGCAGCCTGGGACAGAACTGGGTCTGGCTGGAGTGCAGCTGAGTTTTGACAGTTGTCAGAGGGTGGGACCGTGTTGCCAGGTAGCACGAGATACGGTTGGAGCCTCTGTGAACCTGCTCAGAGGCTGAGCTGCGGTAATGCAGGACAGAAGATGAGAGAGCCATAGCCAGCTTCTTTGTGGTCTGCCCCTTCTGCCTTGCCAAGCAAACCTCAGTGGAGGACAGCGTGGCTCGGTTTGTTTTAAAAGATTATTCCACACTGGATTTTGAATCTATACAGGGAAACTGCTGGAAAATCTACTGAGCAAAAAAGCTCCATAAGAATGTGTCAATGAGATTAAAACAATGCAACACTGATCTTCCGTTTAAAATGTCTTCCATCTGTCAGTCTGGAAGCTTTTCTAAGGATTTTGGAAGAAAATTTGCTTCCAGACTGATTCATAGATTTCTCAGTAATTAGTTCAACAGCAGTTCCGCTTTCTCAATGTAGTCACTGAAGCAGCCTAAATCCAGATTTAAAGTCCATTAAAAAGGAAACGCTTTAGTGTTGGGATTTATATCAGTGTTCTGGTTCTCAGGAAAGTACTGCATTTTTATAAAAAAGAGGCTCTCATTTTTGGGCCAAATTCAAACCGAACTACAAGATAGCTAGATAAAATATTAATTGTGTGGGTAAGCTTGATGTGAGCTTATTGTAAATCTGAATATGGCCTTTTGGAGGCTATGGAAGCAGAATTAAGCAAAGGATTAGACCAATTAGGGATGTAAATTTTGCAAAAGCAAATGCTAACAGAAGTTTGGATGATAGGTAAGGTGCTACATTTCAGATTTTAAGCCAGTTTCTAGCTATTAAAATTACAGAATCACAGAAATTGGAGGTGAAAGATATCAAGAGAGCATAATTAGTTGATTATTTTCCTTCCCCAGAGCATATCAACTGTACGTGTCATTCCTGACAGATTTTAGACTACCATGCCATAAAACCCTTCAGTGAAAGGTATGCCATAACTGCAATGCAACCTACTCTTATATGTCATTAATCTCAATTGTAGAAAGCTCTTTGCGTGTATCTCCTTTGTTGCCTTTTAAGCCCATATATTTTTGTTGTTTTGAATATAGTACCAGGGTGTAGATTATTACTGCTTCATGGCAAGTATTTACATTTTTGTTACCACTTTTCTCATAGACTTCCCTTCTGTTAACTGTTTCCCCAGTCTTTGAGTTTGTTCTCCTAAGTCATGTTATGGGATCTTTGATAACTCGTACTGGTATATTTTTCTGGACTTCCTCCAACTTCCCCAAGTCTTTTGAGGTATGGCATGCTGTCCTGAACAGAGTACACTAGCAGATCTAGATCTTATCAGCAATAAGTAGAGTGTAAGGATTACCTCTTGGGTCTTAAACACAATACTGCTGTTAATATACAGCTTGCTTTTACAACAGCACGATGTTGTTAACTCTGGCTTAGCTTATGTCATTTTCTGCAGAACAGATTACAATGAAATGTTGAAAAGATGCTTTCACAGGAGCTCAGCAGTGCTCACTTTCCCCCATGTGGCTTGTAGAGTCTTCTTAGGTGGCGATGTTTTCTGGATGTTCATGGAGACGGGATCCCAAGTTAGACAGACTAGGCATCCACTAGAAACACAGATAAGTAACTCCCCAGCTTCTCTTCGTAAAGAAAGATCATGTGATTTTTACAGCTGATTTTATCACAAATTGTCCTTATCTGCAAAAGGCTTAATAGGTGCTATGAAGAACGAGCTTAGAGAGAGCAGAGACCTGAATTATGCTCCCCTCCCTCGTGAAGAACTTACCGTGTCTGTGGATTGTGGCATCGTCCACTGTCCACCCTTTCCTTTTTGTAGGGTCCTCTCCCGTCAGATATGAACCATTCTTGGGAATGGAAATTTTGTCTGTGCAGCTCGCAGTCTTGTCTGTCTTGAAGAATTACATGAACAAAAATCTCAACATAGTATATAAATGTGATACTTTTGTTTAACAGCATGTCAGCTGGCAGCATTTAAGAACCTCACTGCAGCGCCTACGGCTTGTTGACATAATGGCAATATTTACAGTAGAAAAAATGGTTGCACTTTAAAATGTATTGGTTGAATAATATCAAACAGTAGAATATTGTAAGAAGTTGCATCTGGTGTAGAGAAAGAAAGCCACTTTAAAATAAGACAGATTTTTCTTATTCCCTACAAATTTACAAAAATTTCTTTGAAGAGGAAATTCCTTTTACTTGGAGCTGCAGGTTGCATTAGACCATCTGATTTCTTTTAAAAAAACCCCACAAACCAGTCATTCTCTAGCTCTTCATTTCATCTGCTTTGAACCTATATCCATTGATTATTTCACCTGACATATTATCAGGCACTGAAAAAAGCAGAACAAGTTCCTTGGAACAGATTGTTTCAGTAAATGTCTTGCTTTCCTAGTGCAGTGCTCAGAAGTACCCCTCTGTGCTAGTTTTTCCATGAATACTTAACCTCTGGTTTTGGATTTATCTAGCAACAGGAGACTGTTATCCTGTGAAAATCCTGTATCTTTTTTGCAGCTTCAAAAATAGACAAACTGGTCTTCGGACTTCTTTGTACTAGGTAAACTGCCTTTCTTCTCTGTCTTATGTGTAAGAGAAGAGAGGCTTGCAAAAAGAAAATGTATCTGGTGAGACCAGATGACGTATAGCTGAGGGGAAAAAATAGGACAAGCATTCCAGCTGGGAGTCCCTCCATTAGCTCTGGCAAGGAGCAGCCAAAGCGCTTGCCAACATCCAAGTACTATTTCATCTATACGTGCACAAAAGTAGATCCTTTGGCATTCATACCTGTTGCTTTAAATTTACGTTTCTTCCTGTGAAAGCTTAAAGTAGAAATGTTGGCATCTGAAATCCTGTAATCACTGCATCCTCTAGCAGGCTCCAGCCTGAGGCTGAGTCGCACTGGCAAGAGAAGGACTTGAACTGACTGGAATCAACCACAAGATGAAATATACCTTTTTCCTCCCTGAAGAACTGAAATATGTTATTCCAACAGAGTTGTCTGCATTTTTTAAGGTTAAAACAGGAATATTCTATGTGGACAAGGAGTAAATAAATCCCCAAAGCAAATGCGAACGATTAACTTAACGTAGGAAGCGGAAAGGAACAGTGGGGTGAGAGAGAGAAATGTCTGACTGGAAGCCCGGTCATTTAAGTTCCTACGCTTTATTTCTGTTGGTGTAGCTGTACAAGTCACGTTAGAACAGCAAAAGCGATGCTGAGCCGTTTCTTTAGGTGCTGCCTAACGTTTGTAAACGCGACCTCAGAAAAACTAGCTTAAAAACCAGAACAGGAGTCGTGGAAACGGAAGAGATTTAAAATCAAATAGTTCAACTCCTTCTCCTGGGGGATGCCCGTGACGGGCATACGTGCGGTGGAGCTGCTCTTGAAAACGAAATTTTCAGTTTGTCTGTGCGGGGGGCAGGAGGAAGCCTCCCAGGGAGGGCAGAGGCGAGCGGCGCCCGTACAGCGGGCTGCGGGCGCCGGCAGGAGGGAAGCCCCGGGGCCGAGGGGCCGCGCCGGTGCGGGCACCCCTTACCCCGCTCCCGCAGCGCCCGTGGCGGGGGGAGGCCTTTCCCCCT